CACCATCCCACCCCTTTTCTCTCAAAGCTCCCGGAACAGCCGAGCCCGAGGGGCGGTGCCGCCGCGGTCGCCTTTTGCTTCTCCCCCGCGCGCCTCCTCTTTCTCTCGCGCTCCTGATGGCGGGCTCCCGTCCCGCCAAAACTTCTCCCGCCGCCGCCCGCTCTTAAGAGTCATTAGGCCCTGTTGTGGAGTCCTTGCCTCGCGCCTCGTGCAGAATAAGGTCTGGAGACTCGGATCTGGGCGTCTCCAAGTTGCTGGCGTCCGTGTCGCTGTCGCTGCCCTTTTTGCCCCCGCCTCCCCCGTTGTGCGTTTTAATATGTTTGCTCAGGTGGTCGCTGCGCATGAAGCGCTTGTTGCAGACCGGGCAGGCAAAGCGCTTCTCGCCGGTGTGAGTCCGCAGGTGCCGCTGGAGCTCGTCGGAGCGCGTGAAACGCTTGCCGCAGAAGAGCCAGTTGCACACGAAGGGCCGCTCGCCCGTGTGCCAGCGCAGGTGCGCCTTGAGGTGCGACGTCTTGCCGTAGACCTTCCCGCAGCCGGGGATGTGGCAACTGTGCAGCCCTTTGCGCCTCAAGCTCGCGCCCGCCGGCCCCAGACGCTCGGCCTCCTGGCAGTTCGGGCAGTCGCAAGTGGCCCGGCCTGAATAGCGCCCGGCCGGGCGCGCCGAACCTCCTCCAGCTGCGGCGGCCGCCGCAGCTCCTGAGATCATGGCACTGGCCGCGGCCACGGCGGCGCTGGAGTCCGTATAGGAAGGGAGCACGGGCTTGAATCCCTCCTGGGTAAGCAGGTGCTGGCTGGTGGAGAGCAGGTGCGAGGCAGCCGTGGAGCCCAGGCCGGTGGCGCTGAAGGCCGAATGTGTGAGGGAGCTGAAGTCGGCCGGGTTATAGGTGCCCAACTGGGAGTGGAGGGAGGCCTGGGGGGCGCCCGAGTGCAGCGAGCTTTGCAAGCCTCCGGCCGGGTTCTGCACCTCCAGCCACGAACTCGGGTTGGTATGCACGTCCCACCACGACGAGGCCGCCCCGTTAGCCACCTCGCCCGCCGCCAGCGTGGAATGGAAGCCGGACTTGTACCACGATTCGTACGGGTGGGCCATGCCCACCCGCGGATACAGGCTGTCTGCCGCCGAGCTGTG